TGTTTTTTTGAGATGTAAAATAAAAGACCGACCAAGATAAATCACTTCTGGATTGATTACATCTTTATTGTGACTTTTATCTGTGCCACATGCTAAAAAGGTTGCAGCTTCTGCAGACAGTGGCTATTGCATGTGAAATAGGAACGTTTAAACTCTTTTTACTTTGCATTATGTACCTTCTGTATGAAAACTAAAGGGACAGTCACTTTCAATGTATGCAATGAATGTATTTGTATACCAGGAAGGTCCTTGCACTACATAACTGTTGGTAAATGTATAGGAGGTTGTGCAGACTACACTTGGGTTGCAGACTGGTGCTGAGCACCACTGGGATAAATCATGTTTGTACATGGCTCTCATGTACTGTTGGAATTCAGCTGCTTTCATTAATCTATTTATGCTTTTTCCTCAGTTCTAGTCTCGCGGCGAATGATGGGCACCCTAAACAAGTGGTACTACAATCTTGCCGGATTTAATAAACTAGGTAATAAATGTTTTCAAGTGTCATCCAGGTCTTGGGGCTTTTTCTGCAGCTCCCAGATTTGTCTAAGCCCCCTTATACACCATTCTAATAGAGGCATAGGGTGCTGTATATGAAAACAGTCTGTGCTTTCTTCATCTAGCATCTCCTTTTTCTGTTTTTAAAAACACACACATGGTGGGATATATTAGGCCGCAAATGAAGATTTTGTACCTGAAGTTGATGTGTTGGAAGCAGAAAAAATGGGCAAGCGTAAAGATTTGAGCGACTTTGACAAGGGACAAAATTGTGATGGCTATACGACTAGTCAGAGCAATTCTAAAACTGCAGCTCTTGTATGATGTACCCGGCCTGCAGTCCTCGGGACCTACCGAAAGTGGTCCAAGGAAGGTGAACTGGCAACAGGGTCATGGGTCGGCCAAGGCTCATTGATACACGTCAACGGCGAAGGCTGGCCTGTGTAGTCCAGTCCAAAAGAAGAAATAGTGCAGGTAAAATTGGTGAAAACATTAATGCCAGTTCCCATAGAAAGGTGTCTGAACACCCAGAGCATTGCAGTTAAGTGTGTATGGAGCTGCGTAGCCACCAGTCAGGGTGGCCATACTTCTACTGGCAGCCGGGGCTAAAAAAGGCAAACTAACTCCTGGCTGCTATGCTGGGGCAGCCACAAATACCCAGCCTGCTATTGGACATTTCAAATTACAATAGTAGGCTGGCTATTGCACCTGCCCACTGTCTGCTGTCCATCAGCAGAGGAGAGACCTGAAGGAGAAAGTTTTCTATCTTGTCCTCCTATGCTGATTGACAGCAGGCAGTGGGCGAGTACAATAGCCAGCCTGCTATTGGCTATTGCATTTGAAAATATCCAATAGCAGGCTGGGTATAGCTCCCAGCCTCTAGATGCAGCGGAGGCATAGGAGTGGGGCAGAGGACGGGGGCGGGGCAGAGGACGAAGGCCTCAGGTGACCAGAGGGACACGCTGAGCGGAGGAACGGGCCGGGTGAGTGGCAGAGATGGTTGGGTGAACAGAGCAACGGGCCGGAGCAGAAAAGGACCTAGGTAGCAGCGGAAGTACCGGGGGCAGCAGCAGAGGTACGAGGGGGGCAGCGGGAGGGGGGGAACACAGTCGCAGTAGTCTCTCCTCCCCACTGGTGTTGGCTACAGAGGTCTGTGCCCGCCCCCTCTGCCGATACAGGCCGGGATTTAAAGGGACACAGCTGCAGCCAGCACCAGCGGGGAGGAGAGCTATCAACTATTCGAGTATCAACTAATCGATGATGAGAATCGTTGCCAACATTTCTCATCATCATAAGTTGATACTCAAATAGTTGATGCTGCTCTTCTCCCCGCTGGTGCTGGCTGCAGCGGTCTGTGTCCCTTTTACATGCCTTGTATTCTGTAAAAAAAAAAAAGGGCTTTTTGCGGAGGGGATGGGTAACTTACTTTACGTGTGGTGTTTCTAAAATGTTTTTTGGGTTTTTTTTTTGTTCTGCTTTAAAATCAAATTGTGTTTTGACTATTTTTCACTAGTTGTAATTATTGCTCACAATAGGGTTAATGCGTGATGACACATTGTATGAAGATGACGACGTGAAAGAAGCCATTAAGAGGCTACCTCCCAAAGTTTATGATGAAAGAGTATTTCGCATCAAAAGAGCTCTGGATCTTGATGGGAAAAAGTCCATCCTGCCCAAAGTGCAATGGACAAAATTTGAAGAGGTGGGGACCTGTCTTTGCTGTGTTTTTTGCTTTTTTTTTTTTATATAAACCTTTTTTATCAATGGGAAATTTATAGAATGTTTTCAAAAGTTCTTTTTGAGGTGTTTACTTTTTAAAATCACTTTTTTAGATACTTGCTCTTATTGTAGTAAATGAAGAGATTTATGAATGAGTGTTAAAAAAAAAAAGGGCAACTGAACTTGCTGTATTTTCCTTGAAGACGTTTGGCCAAGTTAAGTCTATGCGAGCTAAATAGTTGTCTCTTTACACTATTGCAAAAAAAAAACTGTTACAGAAGGCTTACAAATACCCTGACACCAACAGCCCAAGTGAATTAAGTATTGCAGTGTTTACTTGCAGTGTTTTTTCCTTTTTTTTTTTTCTCCTAAATTTATTTTTTACTCACTTGCAACGTGCTTTTGAACTTGGACTACTCCCGGAGAGCCAATTTCCTAGCACAGTCCCCTCACTCCTTGCATGTCATAAACCTCTCCTTATCTGGAAGCTAATTGCTGTCTAGGCTGACCAATTCCCCCCTCCGTTCCCTAGGACCATTTATGTAGCTGCCGGGGGGGGGGGGTTAAGAGAGCGAAGAGGAATACCTAAAGTGTGAAGTCACATGAGCGCAGGGCTGGGCGAATCCTAGGAGCCAGGTAGCCAATGCTTCTTAAAAAAAAAAAAAAAAAAATCACAGCTGGCTTCTAGGTTTTGAGGTTTTCTCGAGTTGTTCTTAATGGAGCTGACACAGAGATAAATCCAGCTGGATCCTGGATTGGACAAACTGGCTCTTAAATTCCTTATTGTTTCTAGAAATATATTTACCCTCCTGGTTATATCCACATTATCAACATAGTTGGATTATTCTGTTCAGCTTGTTTGTGTGTTAGAAGAAGTTCCTTGTGTTTATCAATGATAGCAGAGAGTAGGGAGTGAGAACAATACCCTATATATGGTCTTTTTTCAGACTGAAAGTGCACCTTTCAAAACATTTTTCTGCTCAACCAATACAATACAGAATCCATGAACAAATGTAACGACAAGATTCTAGTTTATTATACACAGGTTATATGTATAAGGTCAGGCTGAGCAACCAGGAAGTGTTTTAAAGTAGAACTAAAGTCCTGCTGTAAAACATTTTTTAGATAGTCTTTGCATAGTGCCCCTTGCAATTCCTCTTTTGTATGTAAGTCCTTGAACATTCTCTGCACCTTGAGTGTAGAGCAGGGTGCTAGGGACGATTTACCTGTGGTATGCATGAATAGTTGTGAAATCATTAGGGCTGTCCAATGGCTGAGGAGGAGAACCGAGAAGAGTTGGCAGACAGAGCAGTGACCGGAGTCTGGACCTGTCATCTTTAAAGGAGGGTACGGTATAAGGCAAGTCTTCTCTAATGCTGTGCATACTTGTGCATTATGGCGAAGGTCTTACACCTAGTGGAAATATACAGTATATGAGCCCATTTATCCGTGATGGCTAAATCAAGTTGGTTGAATATAGATGTTTTAGCCCAGGGGTAGCCAAACTCTGGCCCTCCAGCTGTGGTGGAACTACAAATCCTATGAGGCATTGCAAGATTCACAGCCACAGACATGACTATCGGAGAGAGATGCATCATGGGATTTGTAGTTTCACCACAGCTGGAGGGCCGGAGTTTGGCTACCCCAGTTTTAGCCTAATCCCTACCAGTTTCTGGCTGGGAATGTTAGTTTTGACAAGTATTTAAAAAATAAAGACATTGCATAACTTGATGTGCATTTGTTTTTATCAGGATGTCCGCTATCTGGAGCCCTACCTAAAAGAAGTGATCCGTGAAAAAAAAGAGAAACAAGAATGGAACAAGAAATAAGGCGATGACTATTCTTTTACAGACATTTTGTTATATTTATGTAAGATTGAGTGACGTTCACCAATCTTCAGACTGAATATTGAGCTCACTTTCTGATCTCTGTTTCTTGAGCTGACCAAAAATAAATGCTTCAAATGACTATTTTAGTTTTTTATTTTGTACGTTTTTGCTGTCATTTCGTTAATGAATGGAAAGATTTTTGTGGAGCGGCTGAACAAATGTTATTACCTGCACACCCCACTGTGTTCTCTCCCAGCCTTTCCCCAGCTGATAAACATCTAGTGACGGATTGCCCACATTAGCAGTTTAGCATTCCCTAGACTTGATTGGGATGTTGCTCCTGCAGTAAAAGTGCAGCCAATTTTTGCCTATGGAACCTTAGTGCACAGACATGGGCAGCCCAGCACAAGATTTTACTGGCTATGCTGCATTTTGTGAAAGAGGCTGCAGCAGTTGGGGAAGGAAAGTACCAACCTGGGGTAGCGGGCTACAGCTGTGTGTAAATAATTGTGGTTCAGGCTTTAGATGGCCACCCTGATCTCTACCAAACCTCCTGGTCTTCCAGTGCAAGCTGACCAGAGGGGACAGATTCCACGGTCCAAGCTGGCCCAGGAATTGGCAGTGAGGTTACCAGATGGGCGCAGCCAATTCTGCACTCTAGAAGGCCAGCTTGGTCTTTGCCTGACCTTCCGGTCTTCCCGCGTAAGCTGGCCAGACAGGATAGTGGTCCAAGCTGGCCCTGAACGTGGCAGCAGGGGTCCTGCCGGAGCCTGGGTCTTTTTGAGGACACGAAGTTCCTTGGGCAGCTTTGTCTGCAACTGTGCCAAAACCCAGTAATACTATGGTGTTTGGGTTTTTTAAGCTGAACATTTACTGTAATGGAAATCCCCAAAATATTTCCATATGGGGGCTTGATTGCAGAAAATGTGTATAATGAAGTTGTGACCAAAATAAAGACTGCAGTGCATGTAGGAATTTGCTGATTTTTCCAGGTATAGAAAAATCAGCAATCTACACGGTTGGGAATATTACATTTTAAGTTCTAAATATTGGTGGAAAAACTAGTGACCTTTCACAGAAGTTTTTCAGTATTGTTTCTGTGCTGCAATAATCTAATTCCATAAGTAAAAATTGTGGATTATAATGATACATAACAACTCAAGGAAGCAAACGTACAATACCTACAATGTCACAATGATGTCATGCTTCATAGAGTGGTGCCTTTTGCAATATTCTTCTGCAAGTTCAAGGGGGAAGGAGAGCTAAACCTTGACACCCTGGGCTCAAAGGAAGTAAGCCCTTAGGCCCCCATTCACACTGAGCGATTTATCGCGCGGTAATTCCCGCGATATCGCAGCTATTTACCGCGCGATATCGCTCTCCAATGCATGGCAATGGGGCTCTGTCCGTCGCTGTCGTGCGTCGCTACAGCAGGACCCTTTTTGGAGCGGATTTTGCCGCGATTCTAGCTTGCTCAATGCAAGCATTTGCGCGATATCGCTCAAAATGCAAATCGCTCAGTGTGAATGGGGCCTAAGATTACTCATTTTGGGATAGTGGGTGGAGCCATGCAAATTATTCCTTTATGCCTAGAGTGAACCATAAACCCCTTTATTTTTTTGGGGGTATCTCTGATGAAAGTCAGGCAAGTAAATACCTTGTGTTTGAAAACACTATTGTGTTTTTTACTAATTTTAAGGAGAGCCGTTTCAGTCCACAAGTCCATGGACCAAGAATCCCTATGTAGTGTTCACCCCCAAAGGAGCCACTGGATGTTTGGGTTCTTCTGGTCGTGGTGTTAATGACCCACTAAGCAGTACCAAATTCTCCAGCACACTGTGAGTCAGGAATTGGTTATTTTAAATCGGGAAAACCTCAAACAAATTATTTGGAACAGCATCCACCGTAGTTGATTAACAAAAGGAAGATTGCAAAAGGTCAAGGACAACACTACAGTGTAGAAGTAGATTTTGAGCCTTAATGTCTCTGGGCTATAGAAGGGCCCTAACTAATGGAGAGCATTGCTTTGGGGCCTAGCAAAGTAAAGTCTCTCCTTAACCCACTGACCAGTGGTCTCTTAATCAATGTTGAATGGCATCAGGCCCTAGGTCTTGAGTTGGAGCGCTCACCCGTCTCACTAGGGCGGAGTATTTGAAATCGGGGAAGAACGCAAATAAATGGCTGAAGGCCTCTCACTGATTCGGTCATGCCTGATGACCTAACAAGAGGTGCTTTGGGGCTCCCCCCCTCAAGCCGTTGATGACCGATGAGATGGCACTCGCCCTCTGGGGTATTGTTCCTCTCAGCGACACTGCAAACAAAAGCCTTTCTCTGAAGTCAGCAGATCCAGTGCCTCAAGAGTAGGACAGGAGTCGATTGGAACCGTGAATCTTCATCAGGAGTCTCATGAATCTGGTACAGCAGTCCGTGTTGTAGTGGGCATACTGGGTTCTGTACATTGGCTTGCATGTGCTTCTTTCCTCCCCTCGGTTTAGTGGGCAAGGTTTCCGCACAGGCTCCTTAAGCTAATTTCAGTCCTCCTGACACTATGCTCTGTCTCCTGGCTGCTTGTCCTATCCAGCACCAGAAACCAAAGCCCTCAAAGGCTGTACAGTCTTTCCTACTTCAGTGCAGCTATCCACCCCTTAAAGGTCTACTGACCAGGCTACAATTACAGCTACTGTCACAGCAACTGCTAGGTATGAGCAAAAGTTATCAGGGTTATACACTAAAGGTTGAAGAGTCAGGAGAAGGGAACAATCTAGGACAGCGGTTCTCTACCTGTGGGTCGCCACGTCCACTTCTGCGGCGCTAGGTGAGGGCCTACTCAGCCCCTTCCTTGCGCAGCACTATCAGTCAGCGGGAGGACAGCAGCGGCTGTGAATATCAAAGTGCTGCTGTACACACTCCCTGGCCGCTGCAGCGACATCTAGTGGCCGGCGAGTGTTTACAGCAGGAATTTTCTATTCACAGCCACCGCTGTCCTTCCGCTTCCCATACAGTGCAGGCTCTGCAGGAGGCAGGCGTCTTAGCAGTGCTGGAGCTGAGAAGGCTGCATGGAGACAGAGCAGGCAAGCAGGTAGCAGGGGCTAGGGAGGGCTTGTATTCTTGTGAGTGCCCTATTTTTAGTCCAGTGCGTCGCCATGTCCTGAGTCCAGGGCTCTGTTGGGGGGTCACCACAACCTGGCAAATGTTACCAAGGGGTCCCGGCCCTTGAAAGGTTGAGAACCACTGATCTAGGACAACATAGCTGACCTGGAAAGTGAGCTGAATTAGATATTTTTTCAGCTATGTTGTCCTAGATTGTTCACTTCTGCCTTCTCCAAACTCTTCACCCTTCAGTGAATAACCCTGTGTAAGTTTTAATTTCCCCAAAATTGGCAAAGATCATATTTCGGTGTACCACACTGAGGTCAATGGAGAAGGTGACATTAAGGTGATTTTTAAGACCATAAAATTTTTATTTAGCCTTGTATGGAGGTGTGATGGATGATACTTAGGCATTTATTTTTACATTTTTGGCACATTGCAAATAAATGTGGTATTCCTCCAATAGCACACCCTCCCTCTATGTGTTGATGGATAGCAGCGTGTTACTACAAATCAGTTCTCGGGTCTTGCCCTAGATCATTTGGAGGATAAAGTGTCCCTAATGTGATGAAAGGTGAGCAGCCGAAACAGTGTAACTACAACAAATATAGCACTTTATTTCTGACTGCATGAGTTAAGACGGCCATTGTCTCATTCAAGTGGTCATTCCAGGCTATATAATAATCATACATTACAATTTAAATTAAGGAATGACTGCGAAGAGAGAACCATTTATCTGTGATTGCCTCATTTGCTGTGCTTTATAGTTTCCTGTGGCTGAATGTTGCCTTTGGGGATGGATGAGTCTTGCAAGTGCTAAACCCGCACCAGATTCATATGCTTGTCATCCGTCTCCCCCTCACATACCCACCTACTTCATAGGCCGTCGTAGACATCCCTTCCTTTAGAGAATGATGTGTTCCTGCAATCCAGCCAGCCAGAAACTGAATTATAAGTCCTTCTCTGGAGAGCAAGAGAGATAGGCTAGAAAGAAAAACGTGTTCATCATACATCATATTGTAGAAGCTCTGACAGCGTGCACCTCATTTGGCCATTTAGATCATGGAACAACCCTATTAAAAATGACAGGTGGGTCTAAATATCTCAGATAGATGTCTCTCTGAAGATAACTGAGCTGCTTGCATTTGGAACGCAGGTGAAAGCTGTTGAACAAAATCTGTGAAGCTGCAGCCAGGAACTCCTCCAAAAGCACTGAGTAATACAATTTATTGCACTGAGTTCCAGGCATAAGCTTGGAGGCTTTCATATACACTACAGGTGTGAAATTCTCCACATCATAAAAACAGAACAAGAGCAAATTTTAGTTTTTAAAGGGTCAGTTGAACCAGAACCAGAACTTTAATGGTGGAGCCCTCTAGGGGTGTGACAAGAGCTAGCCTCATGGACCCTTCCTCATGGTATGGCAAGCAGCACAGATTTATACACCTGATCTTCTCTCGCCTGCTGCAGCCCTTAAGGTCCCCACACACCTTGCGATAATCGTACGATAATCGCGGGTAATCCCGCGATCGTACGATTATCGTAAGATGTGTGGAAGCCGTGCGACCTCTACTACTGTAAGGTCGCACGACTTTAAACTTACGAACATGTTTCAAAACCCGCCGAGCATTGTACGATGTTCGGCGGGTCTGTAGCATTTTCTTAAGATAAAAGCCGGACGGGCGGGTGTGCGCAAGCGCACACTGCCCGTTCGGCATTGCGGTCAACGGAAGCCCGCCCCTCAGGGGGCGTGGCTTGAATTCATCGCAGGTGCCATCTGCCTTTGCAAGATAGGCAGATCGTACGTTTTTTTAAGTACCTTACAACCATCGCAAGACAAAAGTCTTGCGATGGTTGTAAGGTGTGTGCCCAGCCTTAAGGTGCCCATACACCTTACGATTATCGGACGAAACTTTTCGTCCAATGATCGAACCGTCGTACGATTTTCGTACGACGGCCCCATCTTGCCCCGATTATCGCAAGGTCCAATCAG